TAACTGTAGAATCATAAATTCTAGGTATCACTAAATTTAATATGTGATTCCTTGAAGTTTCAAGCCAGTGCAGTCAGTCACACTAGCCCTTGCCATATTTGTGTTTTTTCTTCCAGTTCTATTTTTGAAAGTTAACTGAAAAGAAAGACACAGATAAACAGAGGTTTTAAGCAATAGTTCTTCATTCATGATGCCATTTCTCTTAATCTCAAATTTCTTTGTATCCTTCCCCATTGATATTTTTCTTATCAGCGGCTTAACATTCTTTTGCATGCATTCAGTTAAAGATGTATATTTTCCTCTTTCTTAGGTGCGCAAGTTCAGCAAACACTGTAGAAGTTGTGACAAATGTGTTGATGAATTTGATCATCATTGCCGGGTAAGTTTGAGATTTAATTGTGATTGGGAAGCTCAAAATGAATATGATAGATGAACAATGTGGTCTATCACATTAGAAGTGAAATATAAGGTATGGTCTATGATGCTCGGACTCGGGCACGGGTATTGGGTATGGGTACGTATCTAAGTGTCGGATCTTTTATTTTCTAAAATGTAGAATATGAGGATATAGCTAAAAAGAGTCCAAATTTAAAGATATGAGAATACGTTTTTCAAACTTCAATTTTTTTACTAATTCAAGATACCATTTTGAATAAACCAAAATTAATTATTCACAAAGAAGGAAATTGATATTAAATAAGGAGTTGAGATGAATAAAATAGAATTTTGGGATTTATTTTTCAATTATGAAAATTACTAAATATTATATAAAATAAAATATAAGAGACTTGATTATAATTTGGATTTAGTGGAAACTAAGTAGCATTATCTGGAACCCATCTTCATATTATACAAACAAAAATCTAAATCATCGATATAGAGATGGAAAGAAGGAAAAAAGAAGTAAATGGAAAGAAAAAAGAAAGAAAAAGAAGTGAAAACCTAGCATCGTTGCCCTTCTCCACCTCTCGACAGCGATGTTAGGTGCATAAAGAGTGGAAACGGGAAAGAAGAAAAGGAAAAGAAAAAGCAAAAGCAACGAAATGTCCGATTGAAACTTGGAGGATCCCATATCTTATATCCATACCCATGTCGTGTAGTGTCCGACACGGGTACATCGACTATTTCGAAGAGTCTAAGCATCAGATTGTATGGTCAAGAGATGAATATGACCTAAGAAACGCAGACACGAGTGTTCAACATGATACATGTCGGACATACCTACACTCAAACACGCTATTTTTTGAAAAAGTTTCGACACGGTAAATCATTGACATGTTGATTAAAATATTTTTTTAACTTATTTTAGTTTAATAGTATAAAGTAATAGATTTTTTATATTTATTGTGCATCATATATATATATATATATGAAAATATTGGTTTACATCCACAACTTTTCATTTCCAGTCATCATGTATCTTCGCTTTCTTCTTTCTTCTTCCTCATTCTTCTTCTTCATCGTAAATCACCTTCTTCTTCACCGTCTGCATCTCCAACACGCCGCAAGGAACTCTAACATGCATTAGTGACGTGTCGGAGACTTATCAGTGTCTGATACATGTTGAACACCAACATATCGATGTCAACAGCATGTCCGTGCTTCCCAGAATACGACCTATATGATTACTATTTATTCCCTGTAACGCATTTTTATAATGAACAATCATCTCTACAATACAAACATAGTCTTGCTTTACTTTTTCTTGGCTAATAGCACTTGGACCATTTCATCCTAGCAGTGGTTGAATAATTGTGTGGGCAGAAAAAACTATATCACATTTGTGTGCTTAATGGCTGCAAGCCTTGTCTGGGTAAGCTCTATATCAAAATAGCTTTATTCTGTCAGGCTTTCTCTCTCTCCCCCTCTTTTGCCTCTAATTCACATTTGGCTTTGCTTGCTAGCTTGTTTTTGAATGTGGGGTGGGCATTGCAGTCCTTGTTCGCTGCTTTGTTGAGAGAAATGCTACAGAGAATCAGATAACTGACAGGCTTGGAGATGGATTCTCTCGTCCGCCCTTCGCTACAGTAGTGGTATATTATACTACTTTCTGTTAGAAGTAAAACTGGGTGCTTCATCTATCTCTAGTTCGCAACCTAATTTCTTTTTCTGTATTTTATGGATATTTCGATATATGTAATTTAGATCTAAGATTGTCTATTTGGAAGATCTGGAATTCATGTTTAAAACTGGCTTCGATCCTCCACTCGATTGAGTGGATGAATTACATGAAAGAAATGAAAGATAAATCTTACCATGTTTTTCTATCAAGAGAGCATACCTGTTTCTTTTTATTTATCTTCTTTAAGAAGCTTTTTAGATTGCACTTGGTTGTATGTTGTTATATAATCTCTTCTTTGGTAATTCGGGTTCTGTAATGCCCATTATCCTTTGCTTGTAAAAAAGAATGGTAGGGCGGCTCGCCTCAACAAGAGAAGCTGCATCCCATAGGGAAAGAGCCCCTTTTTTCAGATTTAAAGTTTGTCAAACTTTGTTTTTAACCACACATTTCATTCAACTGCCAACTTTATCTACTTTTTAACTACACATTTCATGGACCTACCAGCTTATAATCTCAAAAATCTGTCAAATAGGGTCTAAATATCTACTGCATCATATTTCATGCCAACAGAACTTTATGCCCAACAGATTTTCAGTTTATCATTTATCTTGTTACAGGCGCTCTGTACAGCTGTTTCTTTGCTTGCAATGATACCTTTGGGAGAATTGTTCTTTTTCCATATAATCCTTATACGAAAGGTACATTTCTATTAACTATCTCTCTATGTGTGTGCATGCACTGGCTTTTGACTGTCATTTGTTTATCTGTGTGTATGCATGCTTGTGTTATGCCCGAATAATGTGCATTTTGTGTTTGTATTGGCATTTTAAGTGCAGGTAAGGAAAAGTGAAGTTGGTGACACTAACATTACATTTTTTTCTGTAGGGTATCACAACATATGAGTATGTTGTTGCTATACGGACTCAAAGTGACCCTCCTGGACCTTCTGTAGATGGAAGAGATCAGCAAAGTATGCCATCTTCACCAACGAGTTCTGCTGTTACTGCCATTAGCGGAAGAAGCTCTGTTGGCATGGGACTACAACATAAAGGTGCTTGGTGTACTCCACCGAGGATATTTATGGATCATCAGGTATTGATGTCTCTTTGTACTACGTACTTGACTTCTTGAAGGTGACTATAGGAGTTTAGCGTGAAATAGAGCGATGAAACCTATCCTTATGCTGTTGAGTTTTTAGACATTCTCTTTCACATTGCTCCTTTTCCCAAAGGAGATTGTTTCAACATGTATGCAACTAAAATTTTTCTGTCAAACCATTGTTTCTAACTTAATTTTATGATCAAGTTTTCTGAAGAAGAGAACTGTTAGCAACATATGGCACAATATATTGTGAGGATTGTGTACTGTAAGGTTCCCGATTTAGAAGGGGGAATGATTGTTGGTACTACACTTAAAGATATACATGGTGCTTCCAACCCAAGGCAGAAAACTGTAATAACGATACATGTTAGTAGTACTATTGAACATTAGTGTTGTCACTACTTGAAAAAATTATGAATGTGAAGGCTCATAGAAAATAAGTTTGTTGTATACATTTTTGTTTAGAAGATTGAGAGGTTTGATATCCTGCCATTGGGCTGTGTATAAGGAGTTTTTGGACATCAAATTCAATTTTCTCGTAATGTTGTCCTTTGGGTAATGCTTATTGCCTTAAAAAGAAGGGCGTATTACGAAATTATGAGAGAGGATAATTGAGTATCAATTAATGGCCTCGTAGATTTATTTCAATTTATACTAGGAGATTAATATTGAAGTCATTTTCACAATTCCAAACATCGATTGTAAATTGTAAAGAAAAGAAATAGTATATACTTATGGTTTTTAATTTATATAGAAAAACCTTATGATATGTATGCTAGGAAGAACAGAAATTTCTATTCGATAAATCAATCTTGTATATGATGTGTATTATGGATCAATTGCAAGAGTTCCAGTGTGAGCACTAATAAATAATTTTCTATTATGATGGTCTTGCGGCAAACTTTTGGACTTGACCCTTATTCCTTTTTCAATCACAGATAAGCTCCTGAGACATGCATGATATGCATGATGATGTCCTTTGGTGGATGCTATTGCTGATGACATAGTTTTAGTTGATAAGGGAATAATCATTAGTTTGAACTTTAGGAAAGCACTTTGGAACTTATAGTTTTACTTACAAGTAAGACAATTGTACAGAATATTACTTAAAGTTAGTATAAGTAAAGATGGTACTGGAGGCTTTGTAAGGACTATATATTCCAAAAAGTGGGTTGGAAGAAATGGAGAAAGGTAGAGGGATTTCCATTAGACATCCAAGATGGTCTCTTAGTCTATGCTATTCTTTGATGATGTATTATAGTTGATGAAATCATTAAATTAATAAATCTTTAGTTTGATCTGTGAAGGAGCACTTCGTAACTTAAAATCAAGTACAACTAAGATCAACACATACAATGTTGTGTTACTAATAACAGTTAGCAGTGGGGTCGTTATAGAGGATTATATTATTAAGTTTGTATATGAATATAAAAGGAACTTGAGGATGTGATAAACTAATGCAAAGTATTTATAAGCCTGGATGAAATTGAGAGATGCGAAGAAATCGTTTGTGAATCCAGTATAATATTTAAAAGATAAGTTCTGCAAAACAATGATTAAACCAGTTATATTTTATGGTATTGAGAGTTCAATCGTCAAATGAAAAATTTTCAATGACTGTACCACGATTGAGGATGTTAAAAATATGTGGTGATTCTGGAATGAAATGACATGAATATATACCAACTAACAGAGGTGCCACAAATGAGGATATATTTCTTCTCAGAGGGGAATGATTTTGTCATTTTATTATACGGAGCTTATGGGTCGTCCAAGTTATTATCCCTGATATCATGGCATAATTTTAGTCAATGAGATTAGGATGAGAATACTTCCTTAATTTGTACTTTGGAGTCTGAAGGTTTTAGGTTAAGTAGAACAATGATTTAATACATAGAATGCATTTTTGTGTCACAGAAGGAACAATGATGGTGATGGAGTCACTATAGAGGGTCATGCTATCTCAAGTTGTGGTTTTAGGTTTAGGATTTGAATGTTAACAAGGACTCGGGAAGGATGTAATTCTATAATATATAGGATATGGACAGTTGTTTTAGTGTTTCTATGTTATCAGAGAATTGAAACACCGATAAGTTAAAAGACAAGTTCTATAGAATGGTTATTAAATCAACCATGCTTTATGTTACCAAGTCGGGCTGTCAAAGAACGAAATTTTCGTAGGATGAATGTACAGAAATGAGGTTGTTGAAATGAACGTGTGATTATACTAGGATGGAGTCGACGTTAATTGAGAATTTATACCAACAAGTGGAGGTGTTACTCCAATTGAAGAAAAATTACAGTAATGATGACTTTAATGGTTGGATCTAAAGAAATTCCTCTTTAAAATAGCAAACAATCTTAGTAGAACATGTTAGAGGAGAGATGTATATGAATCCTGTTCACCACTCCATTGATCTACTGCTAACATGTTCTACTAAGATCTACTGCAAGTTTTCCATTTATCTGATATCATTTTATTATTTTTAGCCTTCGTTGCTATTAGGACTTAAATTTTAAATTTCAATTGGAACATGGAGAGTCAACAAAATGCCTCTATCTTGGCTCAATTATAGCACTTAATTGTGGAACATTTTTTACCTAATTTATCGTTTACTGCAAATGTTTCTAGCTTTCAGAGTAGTTATATGTTCTTGTTTTTTGGCCTCTCCTACACAGGATGAAATTATTCCCCACCTTGAGCCTGGCCGTTTACCTTCCACCGTTGATCCAGATGCCGTACAAGCTGACAAGGAGAGACGAGGAACCCAGCGTCCAGTCAGAATCAGTGCGTGGAAGCTGGCAAAATTGAACTCTCATGAGGCTATTAAAGCTGGTGCAAAGGCCAGAGCTTCATCATCCGTTTTGCGTCCAATAAGTTCTAGACATCATCATTATGATGCTGATCATGTATCTAGTACCACTATGAGTGGTAAAAGCTCTCCAACGAGCACAAGGCACGGATATTACGAGAATAATGCTCGAGCTGGGACATCAAGGTTGTCCCCATCAAAGATCTCGTATCCACCTAGTCAAGCTAGCAGGGATGACATTGATACGTGTGGTAACAGCATAAGTAACTTTAGCAGTCCTCTTGCCACAAATCTCACTTCTTCACCAGTCGGGCAGCAGCATTCTTCAAACAGAGACCACTTTAATCCGATATATCAAGCATCAGCTAATCAATCTCCTTGGTCGGCAAAAGCAGGCGACAAGATTGAAGCTTCTATTAGCGAAGAGAAAGTTGGGGCGCCCATGAGGAAAAACAATTTGGGTATTGCAGAGAACATGAAATCATCCGTATTTTGGGATCCGGAAGCCGGGCGCTTTGTTTCTGCTGCCACCAGGAATGCTGGTTCATCGTCTCAGGCTACTTCAGCTGAGCTCATGTACACAGGTCAGTCTATATTCTTTGGAGGCCCTCTCATGAACGAACAGTTGAGCCGAGGGCCAAGAAGTGGCACCTCTTTTCCAACTGGTCCCCAGAGAAGTTCCACTTCAAGTTACTATCAACAGGGTAGATCACAGAGGGGAGGTCAGCTTCCTGTATTTGTGCCAAGTGATTCTCAGCAAAACCAGTTTTCTTCTAGATTGCTATAAGATTTTGTATGAGACATGAAATGTTACATCAGAATGGAGATAGATTTACAGATTATATTTTGAATTTCCTTCACCTCTCGTTTCTGCAATTTTTTCCTTTGCTTCTTCTTCTGGTTAATCTGCTATTTTACTGAATGGGGTAAGATTCTTATTCAGTTTTCTCGAGGTGTTGTATGCACAGATTTTTCCCATGTCATCCTGAAAAATAAATAGAGTAATATTATTGAGCATTACTAGCGTCAAGCAGCAGTTTAGACGACAATTGTATTTCTTAAATGTAATGTCATATGATTCATTTAATTGAATCGTCAAGTGTGGCCATCTAGGTTGGTGTTACATAGCATTATTTTTCTTCTTTAGTACTATTGAGTCCACCTTATTGAACAAATTGCGAAAGGACATTACAGTGATATTTGTACTTATGATTTTATTTTATTTTTCTTTGCAAGGAACACTCCTTTTTCCTCTATTTCTTATATAGTTTATTATATTTTAAAGGAATAAATTTTATTTTTTTAATTTTTAGAGTATTTCCCTCCCCCTTTTGTGGTCATATTTTCTCCTCACTTAACTAAATCCCTACTAACACTCTCGTTGATAAGTTCCTCAATGGTATTATTGTAATTAAATCAGATTCTCTTCCCATTCTTACACTGGCAATCACCCAGACCGGGTTCAATACCGTTACGACATTTTGAAACCTGATTTTATTTTATTTTTTTCAAAAATATATTGTATTCTCACGTCATTACCAAAATCTGAGTTTTTCATTTACATTAGAAATTGAATTGGATTCCATATACTTTAGCGGAAAGAAGGAAAAAAATGGAGGGAGGAGGATCGGAATCTGCGAGGGAACTAGATCAGACACCAACATGGGCAGTTGCATTAGTTTCTGCAGTCATCATTATAATCTCCATATTGTTGGAAAAAACTCTTCATAAGTTCGGAGAGGTTATTCTTCTCAATCATTCTTTTTCGTATTTTTTATGCCTATACGGGAATGCTTTTTATGTAGAATGAAATACTGTATACAGTTATTTTCTAATTGATCTCGCTGGACTTGATTATTGGTTCTGATTGGGAATGTGGGATTTTTTTGCCGGAATAAAATGGAAAAAACGCAGTCAAAGCAGCTTGTTTGGGATGTTTGATCAGCTAAATACAAGGAAAATATACAGGATGATGATGGATTCTTGTGTTACATGTGCTTATGTCCATTTTCCGAATTCAGAATTTCATTAGGCAGGATTCAATTGTAAATACGTCAATATGCAAAGCATTTCCACGTTGTTGTCACTGTACTTGCAATGAAAAGTAATAAACTGAAATTTTTTTTATGAGCCTAAGTGTGTGCTGAAGGAATTTGGAAAAATACATTGTGTTTTTATATTTCTCTTATTCCTTACTCTTCTGTCTAATGATGCTTTAATTTTTAGACATTTGAAAGAAGAAAGAAGAAAGCATTGTTTGAAGCTCTTGAGAAAATTAAAGGGGGTAAGAGCTCCAACATAGTTTTACTCTATGTTTCTCTTCGTATTTTAGAGTCATTTATTCTGCTTTATGGCTCACTTTTTCTATGTATCTTGTTTCAGAGCTAATGGTTTTAGGCTTCATTTCCCTTATTTTGACATTTGGACAAAACTACATTTCCAAAATCTGTATTCCTGAAAAAATTGGGGATACTATGTTGCCATGTCCTAACCGTTCAGCTGGTAATGAGGAACACAAGAGTGCTTCTGGGGCTGAGGCAGAACATCACCGTAGGCTCCTATGGTACAAGCATAGAATGTTGTCCGGAGACAGTCCACCCCAAGGTTGCAAGAAAGTAAGAAGCACTAATTCCAATCTCGTAATTGTATTGCGCACACACGTGTGACTATGTAAGCTTATTGCGTTCATGCATGTTGCTATTTTTGTTGTGAATATTCATCATTTTCTAACCATACGCTTGATACCATGGAAGCACGAAGCTTATATTCTTAGTTCATTGTGAAAAATTGTATTTTGTGTAACAGGGATATGTGCCACTTATGTCAATCAATGGAATACATCAACTACATATCTTCATATTCTTTTTGGCTGTATTCCATGTCATTTACAGTGCTATAACAATGATGCTTGGAAGATTGAAGGTGAGGTCTATTGGTTTTGTTGTTATAATAAAAGCATATTTATTCTTGTTTTAATGGAAGAGTCAGATCAGTCTTGAGATTTTTATATATTCAACCATGGTTTCTTTCCTAATCATGGGCGGCCTTACCTTTTCTATTTGGTCAATTTATTTGGAATAATTTGTATTTTGGTCCTTTTCTTTGTAAAATCATTCATGCAGATTCGTGGATGGAAAGAATGGGAACGACAGACTGTCAATGAGTATGAAGTGTCTAATGGTATTTTGTAGACTTGCTGTGAAAAGATAAAACTTTTTCTTTGAAGATTTGCTCTCCTTTTCGTCCTGGAGTTGCTGAGTTGTTTATATAAATGTTTGTTTAAACTACATATCTTCGGGTATCATGCAGATCCTTCTAGATTCAGGCTTACCCACGAGACATCTTTTGTGAGAGATCACACCAGTTTCTGGACAAGAAACCCAATCCTGTTCTATACTGTAAGAATAATGACTATAGTTTAAGGTTCTCAATTGATTTCATCATAATATATTATTTTGTTCATGTGACGTTTTTAAGGCATTTCCAGAGTTCCTAAGACTATTTGGATAATGAAATTCTATTTTTCATCGAGACAGTATTTATAGCTGGGGTTCAGGATTAATTAGTTCAACCATTGCAGGTTTGCTTTTATCGTCAATTCTTCAGATCTGTTCGTAAAGCTGACTACTTGACGATGCGTCATGGATTCATCTCAGTAATTTCTTAACACAACTATTAATTTTTATATTAGATATTTAATGAGAAAATGGGATGTTCCATTGAGTTTATTGAAATTCTTTAACAGGTCCATTTAGCTCCTGGAAGTAAGTTTGATTTTCAGAAATATATCAAAAGGTCCCTGGAAGATGACTTCAAAGTTATTGTAGGAATCAAGTATGATATTTACTTTTTTTACATCGATTATTTCCTTAACGATAAAAAGATAGCGTGCAATGTATTACCTTCTTACATAATACCTTGGTGCTATTTTCAGTACAGTATTGTGGATGTCAGCTGTAGTCTATATGCTGCTTAATGTTCAAGGTACGTTTCATTCTTTCTCTTTAACGCTATTTTAAATTATGTTTATGCATGTGAATGAAGGAAAAATAAATATCCTGTATTTATCAATCGGCTTAATTTCAGGGTGGCAATCTATGTTCTGGCTATCTATAATGCCCCTAGTTGTAAGACTATCTGTTGTAACATTTTTTAAGTTCTTCCGTCATTTTAACTATGGGACAAACTAATGAATTGATTGGTTAAAGATAATTTTAGCAGTTGGGACAAAACTTCAAGCGATCATAACTAAGATGGCTGTTGAAATCCAAGAAAGACATGCTGTAGTCCAAGGCATACCTCTTGTTCAAGTCTCCGACAGTCATTTTTGGTTTAGTTGGCCTAAGTTGGTTCTTCATCTTATCCATCTTACGCTCTTTCAGGTCAAGTAACTTATCTTCTTTCGTTTGAAGTACTTTTCTTTTCATATGGAAATATTCTAATAGGTTCTTTTTTTTTTTTCCCCTCCCTTTATTAACGTCCAGAATGCATTTGAGATCACGAATTTCATTTGGATATCGGTAATTAAACAATTTTCTCTGTCTTCTTTGCAATTGTATATGCATCAATTTCCCACTGGTTGAAACAATGTTTCCTGATGCAGTACGAATTCGGGATGCATTCTTGCTTTCACGAGAATTTCTACCTTTCCATATTTAGAGTTGTTCTCGGGTAAGTTTAAGTATGCAGAAGTGTTGTTTTGTTCTAATTTATTAACCAATGATTTATTCGAATAGGCCATTCGGATGTGAAGTTGATGGAAATGTATTCTTGGGCAGGTTAGGAGTACAGTTTTTGTGCAGCTACATTACGCTCCCACTTTATGCACTCGTTACACAGGTACCTTACTCATCGTGATCCTTATATCCACTCTTTCGAGCTAGTTTTGTCGGTTAAAAGACCTAGATTTAGCAAGTCGGGTTTTTCACATTGTCATACTTCTTGTTCACTTGAGTTGAGCTATTTTAATTTCTTGGAATTTTCAGATGGGATCAAATATGAAGAAGTCCATCTTCGACGAACATACTTCCAAGGCATTAATGAAATGGCATAAGCATGCAAAGAAGAAAAAAGAAGAGCGTCCTCAACCTCATACAAAGAAATTAGGAGGGAGTCCAGGAGATTCACCGGATAGTTCTCCACGCATAAGTGAGGCACGCGGAGGGACTGTCAGTGTAGATATTCCTGTGGAAGATCTTCTTCCTGATAATGAGAAGTGTAGGCATAGAGACATATTAATGAGCCCATGATCAAGGAAAATGGGACACAGCACATTTCTGCCATGGATTGAATAGGCATTTATATAGAGACACATTCATATCAACCCTTTTCTTTAGGTTACAGAACTGATATAAGTTATACTGGTGCAGAAATGGGTTAGTACTGTGACATAGTTTCTTGATTTTGAGCTACTGTTAGAAATGAATCGTATTGAAATTTTGTTATATCTGTTCATTTGTACCATGGATTGAATTGGCATTTTTTCCCTTTTTGGTTGAGAAAGTGAGTCGAAGAATTTGGTAAGTTCGCGAGAATTCAGAGATCAAACATTCAATCGAGAAAAGTCATTTCATGATTAACAACTATCAGAAAAATTCCATATTTCAATCAAATTTAGATTTGATGGACATCTATCGACTTGCAGTCTTTCCATATCCAAGTTTTCTCCAATATTTTCATTCAAGCTTCAGTTCGTTTAGTTAGTTTTCTAGATTAAATCAAAATTTAGTAGGCTAACCAGAAACAAATCCCTGTATAAACGACATTCTATTCACACTAAATTATGTCCGTAATAGCGTGCATTTGTAAATTTCAAACAAGAAGTAATAGTTCAAACTTTTCAACTGGTTGGACTAGGATCGAGCATAACTCGTTCAAGACCTCGACCAAAAATTTAATTTGAAGAAATTGCCCTTAATACGCCCTTTTCCATATTCCAAATATGCTCACCTTTTCTTTCATAATATCACATGTACTCCCCTTAATATCTATGAATAATTATGTTTATATACCCAAAAGTATACCGAATTGTTTAACTCCTCTCACATGCACGTGGAACCCGCGTGAATAAAAAAATCTCAAAACATGGTCCCACCCCCACCCCCCATTGAATAGGGGAATACAGTAAAAGATTAGATAAAAAAATTCGATACATGTAGTATGATCCAATATCTGTTGGTATTGAGCCATTAGATGGTAAGGCACAATCCAAATGGCCAAAAATAAAAAAGGCTATGCAAGCCTTGAAAGCCAAATACGGACCCAAACCAGCTTTACATCTCCAGCGCATTTTGTGTTTCTTATTCTTTTTTCTTCATTCATACTAAGCTCTTTACCAGCTTGCAGTTTAGTTGTACCAAAGACAACGGATTCCAGCAATCCTATTTAGGACAATCAGTAGAGAAAAGGTATAACATCTCTCTTATATAAATTACGAGAATAAACGAATCCTCAATCGAATTACATTGCACAAAACTCGCTAGACAGCATAGCATAGTGCCGATGAAGAACTAACAACCGAGTTGAGCTTCTCCCATTACTCGTGCTTATCAGAAACCTGTTTCGTTCCAACAGCAAAGAACTCTGTAATGACCTCCAGTGGCATGCCCTTTGTTTCAGGAACCCTTAAGTACACGAAAATCAAGGAGAGGAGACATACCACGGCATAAATGGCAAAAACACCGGCCAACCCAATCGAACTAAGCAACAAGGGAAAAGTGTAGGTAACGATGACATCACCTATCCAGAAGACTAGAGCACAGATGGCAATGCAGATTCCACGAACCCTTGTAGGAAATATTTCAGAGCAGAGAATATTCGGGATTGACCCATAGGCCATAACGAAAACGCAGATGTAGATAATTAGACAGATGGTTGAGATAACGGCATGTGCTATGGTTCCAAAATCGAAAACATCAGATATGATGAGGATGATGAGTGACACTATCAAAACCGGGATAGTCGTGAGCAGCAAGGACCTGTAAAATGAGCGATGTGATATTTTTCTCATTAGGATATCATAAAAGAGAACTCCACACATTTAAGAAGATTACAATTCTTTAACATAGTTTTACCCAAAAGAAAAGGATTGCTATGAACTCATTCGATCAACCTACTCATTGTCATTGAGACTGTTTATCAGTTAACGACGGAGATACTATTACAGAAAAAATGACTTCTTTTTATAGTCAGCCACTTCTAACTGGAAAAGAGAAACAAGAAATTGACCAAAAAGATTGGAAGAAATGTCGAAGCCTGAAATTTGAGAAGTTACAGACAGAAGCTACAGAGACCAGTCAGCATCAGAAAAGGAGAAATAAAGGAAAATGGAAAGAAGTTACCTTCTGCCAGAAAGATCCATGAACCTCATACCAACAGCTATACAAGGAAGCATCAAGAAATTTGTAAATGCACTAATGAGGAAAGATGCAGATTCTGATCCAATGCCAAGGTTAGAAAGAAGAGCTGAAATGCCTGCCTGCTGAAGAATTTGAGGTGCGTAGTACAAAACCCCATTGATACCAGAAAACTGCAGAAACATGAGAAAGAATGAGAAGCAAGTTTGGACAAGTCTATTATCCAACAAAGTTGACTCGTCTTAAAATCAATAAGGTTATTAGAGAAAACAAAATGCCTGGATGAACCCGCCATCAACTGGAACATCACCTCCAGTGAGTGAAATGAGAGACCCACGTCTTGACCCAGGAGCACCCTCCTCGTGCAGATAAATCCGTTTAAAACCTCCTCCTTTCTTTCCATCTTCACCTTCTCTCTCGGACCATTTCCATGCTAGCTGCCAACCACTACCAATACCCATGTTACCAACAGCTTCTGCATTCCCTTGCATGTGACTGCTGTCGCGTCTCATACTTAGAATGCTTCCATGGGGCTGAGGGACGATCATGTCCTTCTCCATGCTTGTCGTTTGACGTGAAATTAATGGACTATGCAAATTATCATCTGAATCGGCACCATCAGCCTCTGATGCGTATCCATCACTTTCTCTCTGCTGACTCTCTTCATCCCAATCTTCATTTTTATCCTGAGGCTCAGCTGTACTGAACATGCTGCCAAAATTGGGAAATAGCATGCTTCGCATACTTCCCGTCTCTGGAAGCTTCTCATGGACACTGCCAAAGAGTGTTACAAGAGGATCCTTGAGAGACAAGGTCCGATTTACCATGGTTCCTTGACGGGAGACAAGGCCTATGCTACTCTGTCCATTAACAGGCTTGGCAACCCATGAGCGGCCATCCTCAGGTCCATACAACTTGATACGGTCTTTACCAGGATATGGCTCTTGATCCTCCCCAAGATCATCCGCTGGACTGATGATGTATTCTTCTATGGATGTGTTACCACCAACTGCTAGACCTTCAACCACTAAAGCCATCTCACCTATGAAAAAAGGAACATCAGCACAATCAACATAGTGATTAAAATTTCAAGCTTTCATACGATATTTGGTCAAAGAAAATTAGAAACTCCAAATGGTTTCATTAGTAAAACTTTTACCACAGATAGAGGAAAAAAAGAAGGCAACAATATAACTACAGACGAACATCCATATAAGATCCTTTGATCACTTATTATACCATGTTAAAGTTGGAAAAGAAAGTCATACGACAGTAATGACAAGTTGAATCATCTAAATTGTAAGACAAACAGTTGTGCAGCCAGTAAACCTCAAATAACACACAAGAAAGATAAAAATTATAAAGCTGAGAATTCGACCATTGTAATTAGCCTCTAAGTTGCTACATTACGTATACATGCAGAATGCAATTGATTTTTTTAACAACGTGCAATTATTATGTATATTTTAATAGTTTTAATTTATTTTTGACAGTCCTTTGCTTTCGAAACTTCCGAAATTTCTGGCTTTAAGTGAATATGCCAAAAATATGCAGCACAGATTCCACTGAAAAACAAGGATTTAATCCAAATTCATCTATCAGTATCCACATTTTAGCATACCCTAACCAGAAAAGACCTTCAGGACAGCATATTTATCTTATCATTTGCATAAAATATGAAAAAAAAAAAAAAAAAAAAAAAAATCAAGTATGATTGGACAAATTTTTTTTTGGGAATTTTAAAAAAAAATTTCTTTACCATCAACAAATTAGAATTGAAGAATAGTTCCATATTTTGAGATCGTTTTCATAAGAAGATGATCTTAGCACGACATGTTGCAAACTAAGAGCTAGACCAAGACTAACGTGGCCTGTTGAGATTGCTACACACTTAGCTACCTTGGATATCCCCACTAAAATGTGCGATGAACAAAACATATTGATGAAAAAGGATTTGCGTTAGGCTTATTGTTGCTTGCTACTTTTATTATTATTGTTGGTTGCTATTTTTATTAAACAAAGAAATCTATAATCTTTTAACACCACAAACCGCGGCCTAACGGTGCAGGACATCATTTTTCTAACTGAATTTGACACGTAAAGAATATATGTAAGGTTACCTTTTCCTTTACTAAAAAATACCATGAGAACAGTTCATAAGTTGAAAGTCCAATTAGAATGCATTTGTAAATTTCAAACAAGTAATAGTTCAAACTTTTTAACTGGTTGGACTAGGATCGAGCATAACTCGTTCAAGACCTCGACCAAAAATTTAATTTGAAGAAATTGCCCTTAATACGCCCTTTTCCATATTCCAAATATGCTCACCTTTTCTTTCATAATATCACATGTACTCCCCTTAATATCTATGAATAATTATGTTTATATACCCAAAAGTATACCGAATTGTTTAACTCCTCTCACATGCACGTGGAACCCGCGTGAATAAAAAAATCTCAAAACATGGTCCCACCCCCACCCCCCATTGAATAGGGGAATACAGTAAAAGATTAGATAAAAAAATTCGATACATGTAGTATGATCCAATATCTGTTGGTATTGAGCCATTAGATGGTAAGGCACAATCCAAATGGCCAAAAATAAAAAAGGCTATGCAAGCCTTGAAAGCCAAATACGGACCCAAACCAGCTTTACATCTCCAGCGCATTTTGTGTTTCTTATTCTTTTTTCTTCATTCATACTAAGCTCTTTACCAGCTTGCAGTTTAGTTGTACCAAAGACAACGGATTCCAGCAATCCTATTTAGGACAATCAGTAGAGAAAAGGTATAACATCTCTCTTATATAAATTACGAGAATAAACGAATCCTCAATCGAATTACATTGCACAAAACTCGCTAGACAGCATAGCATAGTGCCGATGAAGAACTAACAACCGAGTTGAGCTTCTCCCATTACTCGTGCTTATCAGAAACCTGTTTCGTTCCAACAGCAAAGAACTCTGTAATGACCTCCAGTGGCATGCCCTTTGTTTCAGGAACCCTTAAGTACACGAAAATCAAGGAGAGGAGACATACCACGGCATAAATGGCAAAAACACCGGCCAACCCAATCGAACTAAGCAACAAGGGAAAAGTGTAGGTAACGATGACATCACCTATCCAGAAGACTAGAGCACAGATGGCAATGCAGATTCCAC